AGGCGCATTAGAAGAAATTTGCCCAGCTAATGATATAGTTATAGATAAGGAAAATAAGCTAGTTACTACTCCTGCTTTTATGCTAGACATGCCATTAACTCAAATACACACAGGAATTAGTAAACTAGTCAGTAAAATCATTGAAATGCATAATTATCTTTTTTAAATCCTCGATTACTGTAGCATTTTCATTGTTAAACGCTACATCAGACAAATTTGCGGCTGCTCCAAATCCTCCAGGCAATATTAAGGCATCAAAATCTTTTACTTGTTTTACTTGCAATTCATTTAATGGTTGAATTTCTCCACGAGCAATACGCGCAGATTCAACAAGGATATTACGCTCCTCAGCAACTTCTTTTTTAGTCAAATGATTGATAACATAATGTTGTTTTTGATTTGGGGCAAAAATTTTAGCTTCTACATTATTTCTATCTAGCTCAAGCAATGTAAATACTGTTTCAAAAATTTCAGCTCCATCAAGAGAACCACATCCCGAAATTACTACAGCAATTCTCATCATAATTCTTCTTCAATAATGGTAAGTATATTAATTGTAACAATTAATTACTATTAAGTCTTAAATATTCTTAATATTATAACTTTAAATATGAAAAAAAATCTTTATTTCATTTTTTAGCTCAATAATTTTTAAATTCACATCATTATCAAAAGAATTGGTTTTTAACATTAATTCAATATCATTAAGTAGTTTTCTTACTTTTTTCTCTACTGCTTTTAATTTGAGTTTTTTATTAGCTTGCTGCTGAGTTTTTATTTTAGCAAATTCTTCGTTTAAAAATTCGATGATTTTTTGCTGAGATTCTAGCTTAGGCACTTTGACCTTATATTATCAAAAATATTTGTTTGATTATTCATTTCTAAATAAACTACTTCATCTATTTTATTCTCTATTGCAATAGCTCCAAAGTAATTTTTAGGAGTTTCTAATTCATAATAATACCATTCTTGCTGTAAAGCATCTTTTTCGTTGGTAAGTAGAATAGTTCTACCTGATGATACAGATATACCTTCAATAGTATTGATAGGATAAGATAAACCTTGACCATTTGCTTTTATTAATGACTCTTTTTTAGTCCAAAGGTGATAAAAAAGCTTAAGTTTATCTTGAGATTTGAGACTAGACAAATATTTAGATTCCTCGGAAGTTAGTACTAAACTAGCAAATTCTTGAACGTTCAGATTATTATCATGCAGTTCTATATCAATACCCACCCTATAGTTTAAAGCTACTACATAACTAACCATGTTATGGGAATGAGACATATTAAAATGAATATTACTATCCTTTAAAAAAGGTTTTCCATATTCATTATGAGTAAATTCAATGTCTTGTGGGTATTGCTTTGTATAGTAACTTAAAATATGTCTCAAGATTCCATGGGACATAATATATTTATTGCTTAAGGACTGAGTATAATACTTATTTGCCTGTATTTTTTCTTTAATAGAAAGGCATTTCCAGCACGTAGATATATTATTTATATAGCTAGTTAAATTTACAGTGAAGATAAATACCCTATTTGTACTTGTACTAAATATTAACTGATCTAAAATGCTATCTTCAAAAATCCCAGTAGTCAGCTTAAGCTTGATAATTTTATTTATATTATCACTCATAATATTCATTAACTTATAATATTATTTATACTGATTGATCTGTAGTATTGTTAGTAAGAAGACAAAGCCATTCTCTTAGCTTGGTGTAACGCATTAATCCTTTATTATCTTTTACTGCTATAGCTAACGCTTTCTTTTGTCCTACTATTATAACTAGATTTCTCCCTCTAGTTATCGCTGTATATACTAGATTACGCTTAAGCATCATAAAACTTTGCATGGTAAGTAGGATTATTACTGCTGGATATTCAGATCCTTGTGATTTATGAATCGTAGTTGCATAAGCAAGGGTAATCTGATCTAAATCGGTATAGTCAGAATGCCCTCGCAAAGCGAGGGGCTTGACGGTTATGAGCAGCCTAAAAGGCTGCCATTGTTAATTAAAATTCTCCTGCTTCATCAGAGCCTTGACCATCAAGTTGCTCTTGATTCTTAATGTACTGTTTGATCTGATTCTCTT